GAAAGAGCTGATGCTGAACACGTCCAATACCCATAAATGCATTGCTACTTGACTTGAAGTCAAACACGTAATGTTTATTGCTCAACCATTTGATCACATGGCCTGTCCATAAATAGATAGCTCTTCAGCTTTCACTTTCACAGACGATTCTTTAGCTAAGAATGCACTCAAAAAATATCAAAAAAATTATGGGCAATGTGTCGATTCGCATGCTCTCGAAACTAGTAGTAGTTCTACTGCTGTTTCATCTTGTGTGGTTGCTAAGGCCATCTTTAGTCATAGGGTTAAATATAGTTCAGGGTTATAAATTGGCCTAGGGCAAAACTAGGCTACAATTGGCCTGGTTGGAGGGCTAAAGGGCCAAATGTGGCCCTCCAAATTTGGCCAAATTTTTTTGACACTACGCCTCAAGTTTATTATTATTATTATTATTATTATTTCTAATCACTTCTTTATTGATCAAAATGTCAATAAATATTCTTTTGATGAAGATGGTTAATTCGGAGTAATATTGATCAATGCCATTTGATTATGCCTTAAGAGGGCAAAGAAACGAATATTTTAAAACATTGGAAATACAAGGGCAATGCTCAAGTAAGAACTATTTATAAACTGAATATTAAAATCTTGCACTGACTCAATAACGAACGCTCCAAATGCTAAGGGCTGGGTGGTGCTGCATCATCCATGCTGAATCCAAGTTGAAGATATATAGAGGAGAGACCGCTCTTCTGCTTGCCACATCACCAATTTAACAGACATCGAATTTAATGGCAAAGTATTGACTTGAAGTTTTGTGGTCTTTCTAATTGACAGGAACCGTTTTTCCTTAATTGAAAGGATAGAATTTTCTTTGATAATTATTTCTTTGCATTTACACTTTTTTATTAATCAGTCCGTGAGTTATTAATCAGTCCTTAATTGCAAGGATAGAAGTTTTGTGGTCACCTCATGCCAGTCCATAAGTAGATACTTGACACGTGTATTATCCTATCACTTCTATATTGATCAAAATGTCAAATAATATTAAATAGTTACTTGACACGTGTATGCTATTGCTCTACCATTTGATCATGCCAGTCTATAAATAGATAGCTCTCTAGCTTTACTTTCATAGATGATTTTTTAGCAAAGAGTGCAAACAAAAAATATCAAAACATTATGGGGATTCACCTGTCTATTCGCAAGCTCTCGAAACTACTAGTTCTGTTGTTGTTTCATCTTGTGGTTGCAAACTTTGTAGACTCTTTGCAACAGCTATCTTGCCATGCCGAGGAGAGCTCTGCCTTGCTGCAGTTCAAGGAGAGCTTTATGATTGACAAATCTGCTTCAAGTAATGACGGTGCTTATCCAAAGGTTTCATCATGGAAACCAGCTGGAGGAGGAAATAGCAGCTGCTGTTCGTGGGACGGCGTGGAGTGTGACGAGATGACGGGTCATGTTACTGGCCTTAATCTCAGCAGCAGTTATCTCTACGGCTCTTTCGACTCCAATAGTAGCCTGTTCAGCCTAGCGCATCTTCAAAGGTTAAGCCTCTCGGACAATAACTTCAATCACTCTCAAATTCCATCTAGCATAAGAAATTTTCAAGGCCTCACTCATCTTGACCTCTCTTTCTCTTTCTTTTCTGGTCAAGTCCCATCTGAAGTCTCACACTTGTCTAAGTTGACATACCTTAATCTGTGTTGCAATTTTCTTAAAACTGGAGATCCTAATAATCCTTTCAACCATCCGATATGAGAAGTCTGGTTCAAAATTTAACTAGTCTAGAAACTCTTTATCTCAGTTTCATTAACATATCTTCGATCATACCCGTTTCCTTGACAAATTTATCATTTTTAACATCCCTTGTCCTCAGGAAATGTGACTTTACCATCTTGGCTAGGTAACTTTACCAGACTAGTGGAGCTATGTTTTGCTTTTAATGGTTTGAATGGTTCAATTCCCGCCTCATTTTCCAATCTCATCAATCTCGAGATCCTTTGTCTACAGGCAAATCACCTAACCGGTGTAGTGGAGTTTCAAATGTTTCAGAAGGCACAAAATCTCTACCAACTCGAATTGGGTAGTAACAATTTGGAATTTGTTATTGAACAATTTTCAAATATTATGGATGTAACTGTTCAACAGTTCACCATTCTGGATTTGAATACATGCAATTTAAAAGAGTTCCCATATTTCCTAAGAAATCAGACAAAGTTACAGCGGTTGGAAATGTCAGGAAACAAAATCCATGGCGAAGTGCCAAACTGGATGTGGAACATAAGCAAGGGAACTCTGATATTTGTGGACATTTCTGATAATTTCCTATTGGGCGAACTTCCAGTTGTCATACCCTGGGTTAACCTGCTCTGCCTGAAGCTTTCAAACAACAGTTTTCGTGGACAACTACCGATCCCTCCACCATCCGTAAGAGAATATGTAGCCACTAACAACAAATTTACTGGAGAAATTTCACCATTGTTTTGCAATATGAATTCTCTTATGTACCTTGACCTGTCGAAAAATAACTTGAGTGGCACGCTTCCTCAATGTCTCGGAAACTTTAGTGAGGCTCTAATGCTTTTACTTCTTGGAAGTAACTCTTTTCATGGAATGATGCCCCAACCATTCAACAACAGAAGCAGTTTGAGGATGATAGATGTTAGTCATAACCAATTGCAGGGGCAATTACCGAGGTCATTGGCGAATTGTGCGATGCTTGAGTATCTGGTTTTGTCAAACAATCAATTCAGTGATGTTTTTCCCATTTGGTTGGGGGCTCTTCCAGAGTTAAAACTTTTGGCAATGCGCCATAATGGGTTTAATGGTGTGATAGGACAATCTAGAAAAAATGTTGACTTCCCCAAGTTACGCATTCTTGATTTGTCATATAACAATTTCACAGGTGAGATTCCACCATTGTTTCCAGATATTGTTGTAAACATGTCAACATACATGCAAACAGAAGTAAACTATGTCGTCATTGGTGTTTATGTTACACGAAGGGTTGCTTACTCAGTCACAATAGCAGTTAAAGGTTTGGATTTGTACTATTCAAAGATTCTAGAAGGCTTTGCAGCCATTGATATCTCAAGCAACAAATTTGAAGGTAAGATTCCAGAGTTCATTGGGAACCTTACGGAGCTTCGCTCGCTGAATATTTCCAGCAACATTCTCACTGGTTCCATCCCATCATCCCTTGGCAAGTTAACGAATCTTGAATCGCTGGACCTTTCACAAAACAAGCTCTCAGGACAGATCCCCGAACAACTGACGAGGCTTACATTCCTTGGGAACTTTGATGTGTCTCACAACAATCTCACAGGTCCTATACCGCAAGGTACCCAACTTACTTCATTGAATAGCACTTCATATGAGGGAAACCCAGGATTGTGTGGAGATCCATTACCAAAATGCGGAAATCAAGAGGCCCCTCAACCGCCACCTTCAACTAAAGAAGACAGTGATTCAGGCTCAGCTCAAACGCTTGAATTTGATTTGAAATTTTGTTTGGCTGGAATTGGAAGTGGGTTTGTAGTGGGAGTGGTTCTCGCGGATGTCGCCATCACAAGAAGGAAGGAGTTGTTTCTTAAGATTGTTGGAATGGTGAAGCTAATGATAGTCTTTATCAGTCCATACATATGTTCTTGACTTGAACAGATGGGCAGGGCAGCTAGCATCCAGAGTGATTAGCAAAGACCAAAGCTCAGATGGCTTGACCAAGTGGAGACATATATTGCGTAGCAAATATATATCTTAACTTCTGATCTGAATGCACTATTTTCCAGTCTAATGAATTAACTTATACTTGATCGTCAAGCACATGTTCTTGCAATGCAAGTGTATGCAAATTTCAAACCATCATTGTTCCCCATCCCCATCTTGTTTGAAATTGGGAGTCCCTTCCGTTCTCTCTCGCTTCCAACCCTCTTTTCTTTTCTTTTTTTCTGAATCAGTCTTCCTCCCCTGCCGTTTTAATTAAGTCTCTCTCTCTCTCTCTCTCTCTCTCTCTCCAAATCAAGCTCCTTTTCTGTTTTCCTTGATCAACGCTTATTTAATTTCTATGGCTGGTGAATTCTCAGGAGGTAATTGAGAATGGGGAGAAAGCCACGAAAATGAAACCGACCTCAAAAGTATTTTTATGTTTTTAAGTTCAATTTTGTGAATATGTAAGTTAAAACTATTGATTTACACTTTAGAATTCACCAAAAGGATTGAAATACAAAGACTTAAAATTGATTAACTGAATTGAATGACTAAAATGAAGCTTATATAGGTGCAAAAAGTCAAGGGCACATGGTGACGTGCATGTTTGATATAAGGTCCCTTGAAGGCGTAACTTTGGAAATTTACACTTGGTCTCATCAATTTCGCAAATTGACTTGGAGTTTCTTGGTCTTTTTAATTGAAAATATCACAAATTGCATATATGTGATTTACCAGAACTATTTTTTTCTTTGCTTCGAATTGACAAGACAACAATGGTCTTATTTTCAAGGATGAAATTTTCTGTGATGGCAAGTTCTTGACACTACGCCTCAAGTTTATTATTATTATTATTATTATTATTATTATTTATAATCACTTCTTTATTGATCAAAATGTCAATAAATATTCTTTTGATGAAGATGGTTAATTCGGAGTAATATTGGAGAATTTATCAAAAATAGCCAAAACTTGATCCTTAATTTCAAAAATGTCATTTTTTGTAAAATATTTCAAATATAGCAAAAAACTCACCTAAATAGACACAAATGCCCTCAAATTTAAAACCCGTATAAACCTAAAAAATAAACCTTATTAAATAAAAATTTGGAATATTTTTAACCCACGTTTGTATAGAAGAACAGAAGTTGAAATATATCATCCTATTTATTGATATTAGTCAATTTAAACTTAGTCCCAATCCAAGCATCACCAAACACCGGATAAGTGTTATTCAACTTAAGCCAATTCAAGCCAAGACAATTTCTGAGCATAGTTCATGCCAAGACAATCTTCCGAAACAAACGAGGCTGAAGAGACCAACTTGGCAAATGAGTGAAAGACTCGTTGCAGGATCAATTGCGCAAGTCTGTCCGAATGACACCATTATTTTGTCTTCTCTGATGGAACAATCCACCGAGTATTCCCCACACGTATAAATGCTGCACTGGCTTCTCAAAGAAGCTAATAAGTTTCAAAATTGGCAACCCATCCCACACGTCACATTGCCTTTTAAAAGCCACACAAACATATTTGTTCAATTTGATTGACAAAGTCAAAAGAATTTTCCACAGAAAAGAATTGATTTGTAGGCCAAAGAAAAATCTAAGTGACAAAGTCAAAAGAATTTTCCACACAAAAGAATTGATTTGTAGGCCAAAGAAAAATCAAATCATGATATAAGTAAGTATTCCCAACATTTTCGACTAAAAAATTTATATTCTTATTGCTGAGCTTAGTTGGTTGGATTTTTACTTTTTGTTGTATTGTTGTGCCCTTTTGTGGTTTCTTAATAAAATTTAGGGTTTGTCCAATATAAGTCCCTACAATTTCTACTTCCTAGACATATAATTCTATAAATCTATGTGTAAAACCCAATTTTATACTTAAATGACCAGTAAGATATAAGTGGTTATAGTATTCCTATGTTTTTACATTGCTATCATCAGACTTTATATTTTATTTATAATGTATTCCAAGCATTTCATTAACTGCCATAATTGTAATTAAAACTCCCTATTAATACCTAAAATGCAAATTAAATATAAAAAGGAATTAAAAACCATAAGGAAGTTTAAAGTGCAGTAATCTGTAGACAGAGAAAACTTTTATCTTGATGTGAATGGAAAAAGTCTGGCTTATTATGCTTCACAATTCAGATTCACTGTATACAATTTTCTATTTGATTCAACAACAACAAAAAAACAATTGTTATTTTTCAATTGTTTTTGGATGTCTACCCTACATGTAATATAATAGAGTAAGAACAATAGACGAAGAAGAAACTAAATGAAGAACCAAGGAAGAACTGCACTTACTGTTTGACTAGGGCAGCAATACGTCTGCAAACGTATGTACAAAGATTCCCAATCTAATAGGGTTTTATTTTTTGGGTGTGGGTTTTAAATTTGAGGGCATTTGTGTTTAGGTGAGTTTTTTGCTATATTTGAAATATTTTACAAAAACTGACATTTTTAAAATTGGGGGTCAAGTTTTGGCTATTTTTATAAATTCTCGTAATATTGATCAATGCCATTTGATCATGCCAGTCCATAAATAGATGGTCATTCAGCTTAAGAGGGCAAAGAAACGAATATTTTAAAACTTTGGAAATACAAGGGCAATGCTCAAGTAAGAACTGTTTATAAACTGAATATTAAAATCTTGCACTGGCTCAATAACGAACGCTCCAAATGCTAAGGGCTGGGTGGTGCTGCATCATCCATGCTGAATCCAAGTTGAAGATATACAGAGGAGAGACCGTTCTTCTGCTTGCCACATCACCAATATAACAGACATCGAATTTAATGGCAAATTGACTTGAAGTTTCGTGGTCTTTCTAATTGACAGGAACCATTTTTCTTTTGTTTCGCTGGTCCTTAATTGCAAGGATAGAATTTTCTTTGATAATTATTTCTTTGCATTTACACTTTTTTATTAATCAGTTGGTGAGTTGTTGACTTTAGTCACCTCATGCCAGTCCATAAATAGATACTTGACACGTGTATTATCCTATCACTTCTATATTGATCAAAATGTCAAATAATATATTAAATAGTCACTTGACACGTGTATTATCCTATCACTTTTGTAAAGGCACTATGGAAATTGTGAAATGACGCCTATTTTAGTGGAAATTAAACTCAAGAATTTGATGCCCCAATTTCCATTTTCCATCTCTAGCTATACAAGGCTATATTTTAGGATCCTTCATATTTTATTATTTTGAGAAAAATTATGGTACAATACTCATACATTCCACAATTATGTATTATTTAATTTAATTAAACTATTATTTAGAGACAATATTCCATATATGACACGTGTACGTTGATAACATTTAAAAAGACTACTTAAAAAAATTTGCACGAGATGTTTTGTGCTCTTGCCGACACTTGATAATTTCTCTTTTTGAGAAGCACATGCATGGGGCCTATAAAAAAATTTGGCCTAGGTCAAAGCTGGGCTACAATTGGCCTGGTTGGACGGCTAAAGGGTGTGGCCCTCCAAATTTGGCCAAATTTTTTTTCATCCCATAGCTTAGCTGGAGATAGGTTTTGCATTATTTTAGGACTATATTTGGCCTATGTCCTATGGCAAATTGACTTGAAGTTTCGCAGCACCTTAATTTAATGGCAAATTGACTTGGTCTTTTTTCTTTTGTTTCGAATTGACATCAATAATGTTAATTGCAAGGATGGAATTTTCTATAATGAATATTTGGTTGCATTTACACTTGTTTATTAATCAGATCTAAGTTCTTGATTTAAGTAATCTGGAGTCTTAAAATACTTCTTTTTTGAGAGATATATATGTCAATAAATATTATCCCCTCTGGAATAAACAAAAGGGTTGGAAATGAAAACAAAGGATTGTGTGGAGATCCATTGCTATTTTGTTTTGGCAGACTTGGGAAGTGGTTTGGTAATGAAAACAAAGGTTATGCATGCATCATGTTAATTTTTTTGTTCTTTTCGTCTTGTTCCTTTCTTCTACCTCGGTCCGTGTCTTCTCTTTCTACTATTTTTTTTAACTAAGTCCCACTTGATTGAACATGATTTTTTTTGTCAGATTGAACAATCCATTTACTGTTTGACAATAACAAGAACAAAGTGCAACCAACAACACACTTAAAATTCATTAATTGAATTGAATGACTAAAATGAAGCTTATATAACAAGGTGCAGAGCACATGGTCAGTTACCCCTCAATTAATTCACTTGAAGTCCAGAGCACATGGTCTCATCAATTTCGCAAATTGACTTGGAGTTTCTTGGTCTTTTTAATTGAAAATATCACAAATTGCATATATGTAATTTACCATAACCATTTTTTTATTTGCTTCTTGATTGTGAGTTCTTGACTTTAGTCATTTTTTAATTTAACAAACATCGAATTTAATGGCAAATTGACTTGAAGTTTCGTGGTCTTTCTAATTGAAAATATCAGACATCGAATTAATCATATGTAATTGACAGGGACGTGTATTTCCCTAAATGCATTGCTACTTGACCTGAACTCAAACACGTTTATGTCAACCATTTGATCACACGGCCTGTCCATAAATAGATAGCTCTCCAGCTTTCACTTTCACATATGATTCTTTAGCTAAGAGTGCACACAAAAAATATCAAAAACATTATGGGGAACGTGTCGATTCACATGCTCTCGAAACTAGTAGTAGTTCTACTGCTGTTTCATCTTGTGGTTGCTAACTTTGTAGACACTTTGCAGCAGCCATCTTGCCATGCCGAGGAGAGCTCTGCCTTGCTGCAGTTCAAGGAGAGCTTTATGATTGACAAATCTGCTTCAAGTAATGACGGTGCTTATCCAAAGGTTTCATCATGGAAACCAGCTGGAGGAGGAAATAGCAGCTGCTGTTCGTGGGACGGCGTGGAGTGTGACGAGATGACGGGTCATGTGATTGGCCTTAATCTCAGCAGCAG